GGGGCGGGGGCGCGGCAGCCGCCTCTCGGAATCCGCAGCCCGGGGCCGGGTGGGGGCGGAGGGAGGGCGAGCGGCCGTCCCGCGCCCCCGCGCTGCCAGCAGACTACCCTGCGCCGGGAAGGCTGCCTCCCAATCAATACTCCCCAAATCAGCCTGGGCCGTAGAGTCTCCCAAGCAAATTTTTTCCTCAGTGATTTATAACTTGTTTGTTCATCTCTGGTCACAGGAGAGAGTCCAAGTGCTAAATAAGGGAGGTGAGTGGAAGGGACTCAGAAGGACGGCGGGCTGCAGCAGCCGGACGAGATCTGGGCTTGGGCTCCGCATGGCCCAACCTCTGTGTGACCTTGAGCAGGCTCCGGGACCCCTCGGAGCCTTCCCTTCTCTCCTGTTAAGTGAGAACAACACCTCACAAGGGCTTTAGGAGTAGTACATGGATGGACACTTGCAAAAGGCCCAGCTTGTAAAGTGAATACTTTTAAGTGGCGTATAATAAAAACTTACACTATTAGTAGCAGTAGCAGCAGTAGCAGTATGTGGAAAGAGAACTGGGAAAGCATTTGGGGTTTCCAGTTAGATGATGATGATAATTCTTCCTCTCCTTTCTAAAGCTTAAACTAGTATATGGGAACACATTTAAATATTTGTAAAGCACCGTTTGGAGGGTGCTACCTAAGCTAACAAAAGTAAGGGAAGGATGTTGGATGCGTGTCTCTTAAGAGATCCAGAACTGAAACCCCCTTGCCTTGTAGTATTTGTGAAACGAGGAAGTGGCCCTTTTTCCTTGGCTCTTCTTGGTGAGGAAAACTTTATCTCCATGCTCTTTTTTCTCAGAAGCAATCCATTTATCTCAGGCTTGACTGGGTCAAAATGAGTGGGAGCTTCAAAACGTTCTTTCCCAGGCACAGTCCACCCAGGCTTTCAGAATCTCAGGACTCCCAAGGTTTCCCTTGAGTGGTGCTGATACACACGGTAGAGGAAGGAACACAGGTCTAGGATCTGGATTCCTCAGCATTTTTTACATCACAGACACTTTTGGAGAACAAACCCGTGGTCCACATATTCCTCTAGAGGGTGAGCTCCAGGAGGGCAGGGAATTTGGGCAGTTTGCTTTACTGATGTTTTCCCAGTTCCTGGAACTGTACCTGGTACCTAGTTAATGCACAAGTTTGTCAGATGGATCCCCCACAAAAATGCACATTTTTGCATGCCACCTTAGAGGGGAGCCGCAGGCTCACCTACAGATCATGAGTAAGATTTAACTGGTGGGGAAAGCCCACTTGCCAAGGATTCCCTCACCTGCCTAGAATCTGTGGTCTCCTCTCTGTTTCCTCAGTTGACTCTCACTCCCACCTGGGGGAGTCCAAAGGCTGGAGGAGACCAAGTGTCCTGTGATTCCTCCCACGGCACACCACCTTCCCTCTCTAGGATTCCAGGTGGCCTGCAGCTGAGACGGGAAAAGAACTTGGAATTTAGCACACTTCAGATTTTAGATGTGGAATAACGCCAAGAAGGGATACCTGAGGTACAGGGGGGAGGATGGAGGGACAATGAGAGAGACAGATTATAATCCAAGAACACAAGTAGTTTGAACCTCCAAAGCAGCTAAGACTGCCAGTTTTCAGGGTCTACGTTTTGAAAACTCCACTCCTCTGACCCTTTCTGTCGACTCTCTTTCACCTGGTCCTGTTCCTGTGTCCAGAACCATTTCGAAGCCACGTCAGGGCAGAAATATCTATCCGATCCAACTGTTGACTTCTCATCGCCTAGACCCATGCTGTATATGGAGTGTGCACCGTGCACGTGTGCTGAATGAATACACGAGGACTTTAAACTGCATAATATGTGGCCTTTGAGACAAAGCCCGGTCAGTTTGGGTGGCTCAAACCAAGGTATCTATAGACCGTTTTCTTGAAAGAGTTGATAGTTATCTCATTTTGAAGTTGATTTTTCTTAAAGAGATGTAAAAGTGGGATCCTACTGTTCTCACTTCTCTCACTTAGGCTCTGACTTTAGTAATACATCCCAGTGGGGAAAATAATGCTGTAAAACACCTAACTTTGAGGTTACCATATATGCTGGGATAGCTATGTGCATTATTTTATTTAATCATCACAGCAACTGTGTAAAGTAGGTGTGACCTTGATTTTAAAATTGAGGAAAGTGAATCTAGAGAAGTAAAGAAATTTGCTCAAGAGCTTGGAAGTAACAAAGCCAGAGTGTGAACCCAGAGGCGTGACCCAGAGCCCATGCTCAGAACACTGTACTAGGAGAATGTCGGACGTGGCCACCTACCACTTAGCATATTTGGCTAACAGCATATTTTTGGCTCTTGAATCTGCCACAGACTGTGATCACACTAATTTAAGTCACCCTCCTATCTCTTCCCTTTAATCTGAGCCAATACAATGTTCCCCTTGGGCATCTAATCTCCTGCTCACTATCTGTGGGCTCTAAAGATTGAATAATTCACCAGAACGTAAGGACTATTAATTCGCAAACATTTCTAACGCATTTGGAGATCTATGGGCTGTGGTACAGGTGACATGCCAAACATCCTTACACTGCTATTGCATTAGCATTTCAACAGTGAACTCTTAATAAGCACAGTAGATTACGAAGAGAACCAAATGATAACTCTGCACATATTAAGACCTTATTTTCATACAGCCAGTTCCACTAAGGGGAAAGGAAAAACCCATGAATATTAAATGTGCATTTCTTTTCTTTTTCCCAAATATGTTTCTTCCCCAAATTTTCCATTTGTAGTTAAATAAATTTATAACTGCAGTCTAACGTGATATTTTGCCTCATTTTTTTGAAAATGTGAGGATGGGAAATAAGTTGGTGAGCTGTGGGGCAAAGAGCATATAAATTGGTTATCTTTTAATTTCTGAAAAATGCCAGCAAGAGGCGTATATTATAGATATCAATATAAGTACATTGTACATATTCAGTATGGTAACTGACTCCAAACTGGCGATTTAGAGCAAAAGAGGAGGCTGGTGCCATTACTCAGATACAAAAGCCTCGTTAGGTTTGGCGGCTAGAACCAAGGTAAAGGGCAGGCAGTGAGGGTACTTTTGTGGTTCACTTGATAACTTTTTCTATCCCTCACAGAGACAGATGGGTAGTGTTCTCTGACCACAGTGTACTTCTCCTTTTAGTACTTTCAGCTGGGCAAGAATAAATAAAATGTTAATTCTTGTGACCTTCCTAGACACCACATGGAAACTATTACTTTAATATCCAGAGAAGGGACTCCAGGAAGAGAGCTTAATCCTCTGATGTTCTGGTGCATGTCCATGGGAGAAATGAATATTGGTAACTGGAAGATTTGAAATTCGATGATAGTTGCAGAAACCCCAGAATATGTTATGGGAATCTCTCCTAAAATGTCCCAAATGATTCAGCTGCATAAAACACTAAATATCCCAAATTAGCATTTTATCCTGCCTAATTCTACTGAAAACATGTCTGTTGATACTGTTAATTTCCTTGAGAAGAGGACATTTGCTGTTTCTTGCTTATGGACATTTGTATCTCTCATTCCATCTCCCACCCATTCTGTGACAGTATCATCATTTGAACACAGTAGTTGCTTAAAGAAGACAGGGTTTGGTTATTGAAGCTGTTCCCTCTCCTCTTCCTCATTGCGTATCTGTA